TAAAATCTATTATTAGATATTTGACATCATAGGGATGGTCAATCCTGCCTCATGTCCCCCCTAAAGGATGCTAAAGAAAAAACAGAATCCCCGCTGGATCCTGAGCACTCAGTGGGTTAGAAGGTTTCATAAACAGCATACAAAGGACCCCTTGAACAGTGCTTTATGGAGCAAATCAGTGACATGCCATAAACATCCTCTTACTGTGCATTGGCCTGATTTTCTTCTTTGCCAGGTTCAGGCAAAAAGCTTCCCTCCTAATTATCAAAGACTGTCATTTTATTCCTAATTGAAGGGTTATTCCATCCACAACTGATATTTTGATGGTGGTTGACTCCGGGTGGCTGAATTGTTCACTCCTGATATGCTTCAAGGAATCCTTCAAGATCTCCCTAATGAACAGTTCTGACACCTCCTGCCGTGGATTTTCTGGCCTTCTGCTAAAATGTGATGGGTCCCACCTCTGTGGAATTCTTACTCATGTAAAAAAACAAAGGAAAATACATTACAGGCAGAGTGAGATTCTCTCATATGGATCACAGCAGATGGGTGGTTAGAAATCTTACTTTTCTTTTCTCTGAGATAACGCTGGTAGTTGATGCAACCTGCCAGCTTATACGCAAAACCAAGAAGCTGGTAGGTTATACAACCTGCCAGCCTTAACCAAAATTCAGACGTTTCTGCCCAGAATATCAGCATTAGGTGGAATGGTCATTCAAAGATCTTTATTTGTCAGCAGTAATAAAGTGTTGTAATAGAGATAATTAACCTCTGCTAGGTTCAGTGACTCCTTTCTTAACAGATGGAGGTAGAAGCTAATTACTACCTTTCATTGTGGCTTCCAAATAAAACAGAAAAGATTTAGTGTCAAAAGCCCTAACGTACGATGCCCTAGAGGACTTTGTAGGGACAACCTGCCTGAAATTGAACCATCTGCCACACAAATAGAGGGTTTAAAGAGAGATCAACAAAGTATAAAGTTGAAAGATAATGCTAATTTTGATGTTGTATAACCCATAGAGAATGTATAGTCCAGGAATGCCAAATATTGCTCTAAAACATATTGAGCCTGTTGGAGGAAATGATCTTCCTCTTTCTCCTCCTTTCATCTTCTTGGGTCATTGTTTTTTTCATACAATGTACAGTGTTTTGCAGATAACAATGTTGGATGGGTAGATATTCTTGGGATGCCAATCAACAGCCCTTTTCTGAGTATTTCAAACTGCAATCCTTTCTTTTCCCTCTTGGTGGTGACTTATTACTTGACTCTGTTTTCACAAAGCTAGCTTTTCACTACAAAGTGCCTATGTTTGTGTGGACCGTAGTACAATGATCCCCGGTGATTTTATAATCATACTTATAAAATGATTCTACAATTGGTGAAGGAAATCTATACATATTCCTATACAAAAATGCTGGTGAGAAATATTGTGTAACAGGGCACTTAGGTTGGAAAGCACCTTAAGACGCACAGTCACCTTACCTCCATATACAAGTTTGTCTACGATTTTGGGGTTGTTTCCCATTGGATAAAGCTCATTAGTATACCTGTTACTGGATTGTGTGCTGATGCTTTTGGATGAACTATGTTGACCACTTGCTGTTCAGATGCCTTATTTTGGAGATTCATTCATTGATACACCTAAAAAAAACACCAGTCCCCACACAGATATATCACATGTTGATACATGGCTTATGCATGAAACCAGTTTTATTGTTCCATACCAGGAACCCATTGAGCCATTATGTGTTGTCTTTTTAAAGGGAGAGGATTTGTGGTTTATGTAATTGTGGTGGATGGGAGGTCTATATGTGCACATTTTGTAATTTTTGACAAATATTTATTACTTGAAATAAATTCATTTTTTTGTATTTAAGATCAATTTGGATTCAGGATTATTTATCAGATTATGTGTTTTCACAGTTGCTCTCTGATGTCTATTCAAGTGGGAACCCTTTGGATTTCCTATGTAGTTTATTGATGACTGGAAAACTAGAAAGTGTTTACATTATATGTTTTATCAACAGTCTTTATCTTTTTACATACTTATTGGTGACCAATCCACCCCTACCTTTGATTCCCCATTTTTGTCTGTCTAACTATTTCAAACTTTAGTTTACTGAACTTGCCATGTACTTTAAAATGGACCTTCACCTGTTGGATAAACTTTCCCTCTGCTGCTCTGTTGCCCTATCCTTTTATATAAATACATGCATACATAGTTGCATTTTTCCATTTAAAAAAAAAAAGGAAATACATTTGTAAAGTGGTGTGGCCCACCACTTGCCCAGGCTAACTGTAGGGCTCGCCCCTACTGCTTCCCGGGATGTCCACATGACAAGATTCTCCACATGCACAGAAATACCATTCCGTGCATGCACAGGGTCTGTTGCAAGTATGTTGAACCTGGCTGAAACTCTTAGCATATCTGTTGGATTTCAGGGCCAGGGCCAAAACTTTCAAGATCTGGGGCATGTCTGCATATTTTTGTGGTGATCACATACGAGGTAGTCATACCAGGAAGTTTGCACAGGAGCCAATTGGTGCAAGGTAAACTTCAGCAGGCTGGTAAGGTAGGCTAGGTAGATAATGCTGGACTACAAGCACTGCTTTTTTTTATTCTCATACTAGGGCAGTTATGAGATAGAGGGAATTTAGTTTTAGCTAGGAATGGAGACGTTCTTCTTTAAAGTGTATGTTGAGGCATTACCCAAATGAACCACTACAAACTTCCTCTCCCCTCTAGGGTATATCCAAACATTATTGTGTTATTTCTCCCCTTTTTCATGTGAGAAAAAACTTTGATTACTCCTTAGAATATGCTTGTAAAATTCTTGCAGGGCAGCTGCTGGGAGGTCAGTTCCTACTGATGTAGGTATACCTCCATCTACATCTCCCAAAAGCCCTTTCCCTCACAGGGTGTGGAGATGTTTATTGAGAGTTAGGACTATTGTTTTGCTGGGGAAAAAATAAAGTGTGTGGAGTAGGACAGATATAGGAGGGGGGCAGGTGGTGTTCAGAAAACAGGTCTAACAACGCTGACACTGTGTTGTCCACCAAAAACAGAAAATTAGGAGCACCCTGGATTTCTGACAAATCTGCAGGTCTTTTGTACTGATATATATAATGTGTTCCCCCTAAAATTGTCTCTTTTATGTCTAGACCAAGTCTCAATGGCAAGGTGGCTTAAGGATTACTTACATTTTGGGAGCAAGAAGTCTCCTCCACAACCTCCTAAGCCTGACTACACAGAGAGTGAAATACTCCGTGCCTACAGAGCTCAGAAGAACTTGGATTTTGAGGATCCTTATGAGGAGAAGAACAATGACAAGGAACTATTGAGTTCTCCATCCAGGATCGATGATTTGCAACTCATTGTATCCCCTAAACACCGTCTTATCAAGGTGGAGCCATCAGAATATAAGAGGAAGCCTCATCTAGGTTCAGAGGAAGAGCCCGGAGGGAAGGTCAGTGGCTGATTAGAGCAAGGGTTGGTCAACAGTCATTTCAAATGGCAAAAATAATTGCTAAAAACAAAACGAAGCAAAATAGCAATTACTGTTTACTTACTGATTAGTATGGTTAAACTCAAAACCCCATGTGGTTATCTACATACATTTATGTAAATTTTGTATATATTTATGTAAATCGTGTATTTACAGGAACAGTTCACTTTATGTGTATTTATTTTTTATGTAATAGGTCAGTGAAGTCAGTGACTACTCAAACCCATTTGATATGAAGAACAAATGTATTTATGATCCTGAAGAAATGGAAGATACAAGTTACATGGAACCATATGATGATCATAGACCGTTGGGAGGTGAATTATTTACTGTGTATTCATTCACTTCAGAACATTTAATGAGTACTTAATGGTTATGTCAAGGCAAAATAAAAAAAATAAAAAAACATATTTAGTACTTCTCTATAATACATCAATACATACACATTTCCTGTTTGTATCCTTTAGAAGAGACTGAAAGTACAGAAAAATACCTGTTGATCTGCCAGAAATACACTTAGCTTTTAAGTCCTGTTGTGGGCTGACAACACACAGCATTTTTGTGGATCGAGTGCTGTCAGCGCTGTGCTGTGTTTTTTGTAAACTACTCAATCACTCCCACTCTTAGATCTCTACTACATAAAGGATGATCATTGTGTGGTCCTAAGATAAGAATTAGGAGGTCTAAACTTTTTGAGATAACACAGGAAGCATGGTGAGGACACAGGACGGCTCTGAATTTCTGACAATATCAACAGGGGTTTTTTGCTCTTATCAAACAGCTATAACAAAATGCTTCCAATGGTATATTTAACAGAGCAAATAGGAGCCAGTAAAATAAATTAATTGTTAGGTTTAACATTCACTTTAACCCTTTTGTTGCCACTAATCACTAATGTAAGGCTTACGGCTGGGTTTTAAACACACTCTATGCTGCTATAGAACCTGGGAGTGTGTTTACATCTAACAAGCCAACTGTTGGCTTTTTGGAAGAAGTGACAGCTGCCTGATCACTTCTACACCCCCAAAGGTGCCGTCCCCCTGTCTGAGCCCTCCCATCATGTATCCCTGGCTCCGCTGTGCCTCCTGCAGGCCAGGGACCTACATGGTGGGTGTTGGTGGACAGAGCAGCATAGTGAACATCCGTTGGCTAATCGTCTCTGCATTGCATGCTAGTGAGCATGCTCCCTGTACAGAAAAGTAGGCCAGGTTGGTAGATGCATATATGTGTACAGCTGCCATTATGGCCCACATGCCAGGGTAATACATATAATAGTTTCACCACTGGCAAGATGTTAAGATAAACACTGCACTGATAAGTTAAGACATGTGCTCACTAGAAATACATTACATTTTCCTTTTAACCCAAGGCTTGGCTATAGTGGGGATTGGTGTTTTCTATAGCTCCTCTGTAAAGCTGGCCTTACACCAGAGGGGTGCCGGCAGGGCCACACACTGCTCACATTTCAGCCAAGTTGAAAGTGTATGGCCAGCTTTACAGAAGAACTCTATTCAAACAGAGCTATACAGATCTCCAATTACACCCTATTAACAACTTTACCCCATGGGGTTCTTCAATTGTATCCTAATTTCTAAAGTTGAGAGAGCTTCCAATGTACAGATTAGCAAACAAAATCTGCTAACAGACAGGTAGAATCATTTGTTGTCTTTTTCCAATGTGCTTTGAAGTCGGAGGTGGAGGAGGTTGGGGCAGGCATGCTATGTCAATGCCGACTCCCATCATTGTATCATCATGTCCAATACATGAAACAAAGGAAGTAAAGTTCTTATTGATTCACGGGAGAACAAATTCCTTGTTGATTCAGGAAAAGTAAGAATGACATTTTTTTTTTAGGCTTGGACCACGAAGGCGATTTTTAGTAGTACGATCGCACTACTAAAATGGCCAGAGATTAATTACTAGTTGTAGCAACTGATTGTGACACATTTGGAACAAAGAGCTCCCTGGGAAGTAAAAGAATACACTTTGCATGTAGTAGTGATTAATCACGGGCATTTGGAATACTGTGCTATCATTAGCACTTACTGTAAATGCTACTACATACTACTTGTATGTTTCACCTTTTAGGGAACCATTGGTTCCAAATGTGTTGTGATCATTCACAACAATCATGTTGCTAAAAAATTGCTCATATGCTTCTAGGCTTAAACTGGCTATACTCTGAGCAAATTTCAGTCAGTTCTTAAACTATCCAAAATTTGCTCAGTTAAAAAATTAGGGAGCTGGGTGGCAATTCGTGGCTGAGCAGCGAGTGCGTCCAAACAAATGCAGGCACTATTGTGATATTTTGACAGCTGGTGGAGCTGACTGTCAATAATAAATGGCTGCAGTGGGAAATTCTACCATCCTAGATGTTTAGTGTGGATGGAGGAATCTGTTTGTTTTTCCATTCAGCCCAAAAGCTGAATTATAAAAAAAATCTCCTATTGTATATCCAGCTTTATTCTACCACATGTGTATGGCTGCTCAATTTAGATGCAAATTGTAACTAATGGATTTCTGTAAACCTGTCAGTAGTCAAAGCTATGTAAATTAGCATGACAATTGAAATGCAGGCACCCTTGGAGGCTTTTCAACATCTTACTGAGCCCGGAGCTGCGAGCAACTCTAATACGGACATGTCAGTAGAGTTCCGGCTGGTGTTCTATCCCTGAAAACTCTCTCACTGTCCAATGAAGATGCAACCACTAACTATTAAGTACCTTGTCTGGAGCATTTTTTCTGCTTTTTGGCATTTTAACAATTCTATTCATGTTAATATAATTATAATAAATATTGCATTTTTATATTTTGCGTTCTTACTTTTAGCCAGTATGTGAAGATCTAGGCTGCCCTTGACATGTTTTCCGATATGTTTTTGGCCTTCTGTTTTAAAAAGTCTGTTGATTGCAAAATTGAATAGCTAAAGCTGAAATGAGTCAGAGGATGGATTTATTCATTAGTGAACGATTCCTCATAAAAGAAAAAGGATAACTGCACTCCATTGATCTTCACCCAAGTACACAAAACTTTATTGTGGAAACCAGCATCACACTGTATGATGTCCCGCCATGAGTGCCCAACCTCTCACACGTTTCACCCTCACGGCTTAATAATAGATTGATTGATATTTGTTGATATTTACAATGAACAGATTTCTCAGACAGAGGTTTTATATTAACTGTAGTTTTCTAATTGGTCTCCAAAGATCAACAGGATTGTAGGGAGAAAGTGACAGAAAAGGTCCTGCAACTTTATGATTCTCCTTATCATGAGCGATACAAGACACTCCCTCATGAAAGCTGCCAGCCATCTGTGGATGAAAGACCAGCGGATGAGTATGACCAACCCTGGGAGTGGAAGAAAGATGACATCAGCCGAGCATTTGCAGGTACAACAGGTGCAAAAAGTAACACAGTACAAGGAGCTCTAATGTACAGTAATGAGGAGCATTCGATCAACCAACTATATTTCCAATTATTGCAGTTCATTGCAGTAGGTGAGTAGTTAATGGGTTATCAACCCTCTACGGAGGACCGGATAAGTCAGATCTTCAGCATTTATGTATTTACCACAGTGACCCACAATGTGCATTATGGTGCACCACAGCACAGGTGTGTTCTAATCCACTGTGCTTGTGTGTTGGGGTGAAATCCGAAATAAATAAAACTACAGTGCCCTGCATAGTGTTAAGTGCATTGCGGTAACCTGCGTTATTTTAGCGCATAGTTGTGGAGCCAGCCTTAATCTTCACTGTGTGATAACTAGCACAGGCACGCATGAGAACACTCTAGTACACCAGAAATCCAGTGATTACAAATAATTCTGCTTGACATTCGTGACATCACAATCTTCATTCAGGTTGTTTATTGCAAGTAATAGTTGCAACCTGTCTAAAGAAATTAAAGGGGTTTTTTTCATGACTTTTAAAATGTTTTCTCATTGGAAAATATATGATTGCTTCTCTTTAAAGGGAAATCCCACACAAAACTGAAGTTTTAGTTGTAGATGGAGCTTGGTGGGCTGAGTCAGACCCTTGCTTCTTAAGCTGGCCATGCACATATAGATTATCTGCAGATTTTCTATGGTCAGATGGAAAAAGTGCACCATATTCCTCCATCTACGCTAAACTGTGTGGATGGAGGAATCTCCCACTGGACCAAACTTCAGTATCTTGCTAGTCGGCCCGGCTGGCTCTCAAAATACCTGAACAGTGCCTGCATCCAATCAGATTGTTCAGGTATTTTGAGAGCCAGCGGGGCCAACTAGCAAGATAGTGAAGCTTGGCCCAGTGGGAGAGTCCTCCATCCACACAGTTTAGTGTGGATGGAGTAAGCACCTTTTCCATCTGACCACAGAAAATCTGCAGATAATCAATAGGTGTATTTCAAGCTTTAGTCCCTGTTACTCCAGCAGTGAGATCTTTTGATCATAACCTCTGCATGTTCTTCCTGTTACATTCTTGATAATATTAAAAAAGGAAAATGACAACAGGCAGAATCGGCCCACCTCTAAAGGGCTTCTCACTGATAGAATCCCAAAATTATTTAAAGCAGAACTCCAGTCAAAAGTAACCAAATAAAAATGAATAGCCCATTAAACAATAAAATAGCAAAACCAGCTTTTGCTGCAATTTTCACATTCAATCCAGAGATTTCCCCCACAGTACTTTTCCTGTTATTTAATGCCCTCAGTCTGATGGCCAGCATTTTCCTCTGAACCTAGGTTGTACTGGATCTGCCCCAGTTTAAAGAGAAGCAGCACAGTGTTCTGTGTTGCTCTGCTTTCTCCTATCAGCATGTTTCTTTTCAGCACATGAACTGATTTGCTCCTGGTGCTGCTTCCATTTCTCACACTCATTGTTATACAGACACTGCAAGAGGCTGATGCCATGTCCCATTCAGGTACTTACACTGCTTGCATTTAAAAGATACTGTACATTTAATGACATATTAATGATTACAGAGCTGCATTGAATTGTGTCTTATACTGTATATCTGCCTGGAGTCCATTTGGTTTAACTATACAACTTAAATATTCATTTTTGGTGGACTGACACTTTTAGTTTAACAGTGTCTTCTGTTTCTAGTGCAGTTTGAAGGTTCTGGATGGCAATGTGGATCTCCTCATATGAGGGCACGCCTTTTACAGTCCACCCCGAGGAGCCCTGTGAATCTGCGACCCTCTAGTCCTGACCTTACTGCAAATCAAAGGGATCATGGCTCACCGCCCAAAGAGCTTGACTGCTCAAGAGTAAGGAGGCCCATTTGTGCTGATCTGCAAAGACACGGGTGAGTGTTCCAGGTAGATTTAATGCCGTTGTGAATAATGCCAGGTCTATGGTTAGGTGTTAACATGGTGAATATAAAGTGTATCTAAACCCAAGAACAACATTGTAATATATTGCAGCTTAACATTCCTTACATATGATGACTGCGTAGTTTTTATTTATATACTTTTTTCCCCTTAATTTTCACCTGGTGATCCTGCCAGTAATACACCTCCTGTCCTAGGGTGTCAACGCTCACTCACTGTGCTGTATCTATGGAGGAGCAGTGTTGTCACCCTAGAACACAACAGCAAAACACCTCTACCTCTTCTCATCTCCATTACATGGGGTGAGGTATTTTGTATTGCAGAGGTACTTTATGCAGAGATAATAAGACTGCTTGAGATAATGCTCCAAAGTCCACTAAATGTCACAAGCTTACAAGGTTTCTGGCAGGACCAATGGGTATTTTTGTACTAATTAAACAGAATGGAATTATCAACAGACCAAAAGGGAACAAATAAGCAAAATTCTTCATAAACTTGAAAGAAGAACTCCAGGATTTTGAAAAATGAACCCTTGCAGTGGGGCCACCTATCATTTAACTGCTTGTTTTTATCTAGGACAATAAAGAAGAAATACTCACCCGATCCTCGGTCCCACCCGCAGCCTCTTCTCCCCCAGGCTCCAGTGGTCAAAGGACCCGTGACATCATCACGTCTAATACAGGTCTATCAGACATGATGATGCTGAGGGACATACCACAGCCAGAGTGGAGGCAGACAGAGGTGCAGGAGAGAGGATCGGGTGAGTATTTCTTCTTTATTTTAGCCCCTAGAGAAAAACGATCCATTAAGCCTTGCAATATGGGAGCAGCCCCGCTGCAAGGGTTAATTTTTTCAAATCGTGGAGCTGTTCTTAAAGATCTTCATTTAGACAGGTCTCACTAACTGCAAATTAACACGCGTGCATAAATGCAACACCCCACAATGGAGAGGTGTAAAAACAGCCTAAAACATCTGTGCTGCTCTACCGCCCTTATAGTGCTATAGCAAAGTATGCATAAAACAAAGTAATTCTGTATGAAGAACGTGGTGGCACATAGACCCCATCCACAGTGATCCCTGTAATCATGCTAGATTGTTTGTCACAATAGGTAATGAGTCATTGTCACCAAAAGGAACAATCTATTCTGGTGGAAAATCCAACCAAGCTTGATCAAATTGATCTTTTGGTTGATATTCAAACAATTGTTATGAGTAGAAGGCTCAAATAAAACTGTGGCATCTATGTTGGATTGTCTGGTTATCATTAGTGATGGGCTCGGGCGTGTTCGCAGCTCCACGTGCTGAGCCCGCCAGGAAGCTGACAGCGCCGCGGCGCCAATCACAGGTACTGAGACATGTTCCCGGTCCGCAGCTGCAGAGATCGGGAAATGTATCAGTGCCTGTGATTGGCGCTGCGTGATAATCACAGGCACTGAATGTGCAGCATATATGCAGTGAATGTTAACCTAGGCAAATGCAAGTATCTACAGGGCAGGATTGGAGTCTTCAGCGTGTCAAGTTATGCTCTACAAACAATTTCAATAAATGTTACTGCTTTATGAAAATTATAATGTTAAAGGAACCAAAATTAAACAAAAAAGAGAAAGGGTGCTGTGATTGATGTCTCCAACTTCATCTAATTTCCAGGTGGTTCCATGGACCTCTGAGCTGCACAGATGCAGAGAAACGGTTGCATAAAAGTGACCCTGGAAGCTTCTTGTTGCGCACGGAGGCTGAAAGTATGTTCTTCCTTTCTGTTAGGTAAATGTCACTAAAATTCATTATATTTTATAAAAGGGTCTATCCACCCCAAACAAATATTTTAGTTTTTGGTAGATGCTGGAGAGTTCAAACCACAAGTTTCTTGTATCAGTATGTGTGTTGGTGATATATCTGTGCTGAGTTCCTGGGTCTGGACACCTGCAGAGTTCATTATATGAAGGTTCCCTATCTGCCTGTTGGATTTTTTTTTTTTATTTTATGCTATGGAGAATGTAACAGGAAGAGCTGGAACAAACAAAGGTGCATGGGAACACCCAAAACTCTCAGGTAGAAACAAACAGAGTTTGGAACTATGGCATCTGGACCTCACTGTTATAGAAGAAGTCAGTGGCTGCAGCAGTCCGCCAGGTTTCACCTATAACTAAAATATCACTTTGGGATATTACTGGTTTGTCAGATGTCCATATTTGCAGATTAATGTCAATGTTGCATAGTTGTTAATCATAAGCCCTTGACAAATTTATCAGCAGACTTAAGGGGACAGTTTTAAAGCAACAGAGAGAAGTAAGCTGTTGAGGGCAGCAGAGAAATTGAGTATTAACTGTCTTCTTTTACAGATACAGTGTACCTTTGCTGGGTATCTTCTGTATAGAAACAGGGATAGTTTAAGGAGTTACTTACTGCATGCAGCCAGCCTCAAACCTTTCTGAGAAGTGTTGAATGTGACAGGTGATTAAATAGCAGGAAAATAGGAAACAATTAGACCCTACAACTTCATATGTGAAAGACTTTCTGGAATCTACCTACAGTGGATTATAGTGTTTCTTGGAGAACATTCATTACTTCAATCACATGTTTCACTTGTTGCCTGGATTTGTTCTTTAAAATGGACCCAAAATCAAAAATGTATTTCAGGTCTGCTAGTCCCCCATACTGAGCCAACACTACAACTGATCATTTAATTCTGGAAATGCCTTCTGGTATCCTAGAGAAGTGTTTCTGTATCTCTGACTAGCTGCTGCTTCACTCTGCCTGAGCAACCAGTCAGTGGAGATTGTTCTTGGGCTTCAAACCAATTCCAGTGTCTGAAGAGAGCTCACTTCAGAAAGTGCTATTTCCAGGCTGACATTATTAGTTTTATCAGATGTGCAATATAAGCACCAGCAAACCTAAGGTTACATTTTCTTTACTTTGAGTCCACTTTAAAAAGAAACTTTTGACCACAAGTGAAGTGACCCATACACATTAGATGTCAGTGGGACTGTTATGGCCAGTTTTTTCAGCTTTAGTGTTTTAAAGACACCCTAGACTGGTTATAGATGGGCACCTTTTCCCCCTGAGAAGGGGCAGGGGCTTTGGAGAGACATTTGAAACAGGTGCAAGATTGGGTCACTTGGAAATATTTTGCCTGAACCTTGGGGGCAACCAATAAATGAGATAATGTTTAGTCAAACCCTAGGATGATTTTGTTTTTCTAGCTATTTATGGCCATCCTTATCCTGTAATTTTCTTACACTACCCATTCAGCAAGGATTCTGATTGCACTGACATACAGGTAGCCACCAAAAATAGCACTTGCAAATTTGTATATGAAATATCATAATGCAAATATGACACCAGAATTGTACAACTTATGTGTTAGCATGCCAGCCTTTTCACCCTCATTTATTCTGTTTGCTCAACAGAGGGCGCAGTAGCATCTTACACGTCAAGGTGATCGTCATGCCAGATGGCCGATTCATGCTTGGGGATAGTGGACCGACCTTCCCCTGTATCCCTGATATGGTGCAGCATTACATCCAGTCTCCGCTGTTGTTCCCGGGGGAGGGACAAGTGTGTCTGCAGCATCCGGTGTCTGCAATATTACAGTGATGTGTCATAACCAAACAGTGACAGGACCACATTGGCTAAGTACAAAGCACCGGCCTTAAAGTCTACATTGATAGGAGAAGCATAGTAGACTAGACTTTGATCGTCTCTGGAAAATTTGGCATTTTTGTGGACCTTTACAATGCCGTGTACCAAAGCAACAACTTGTTCTTCATCTGCACATGAAACTTATTAATAATTGAGCCACTGTGATTGTACCTCCAGCTTGGAATGGCAAATATAAAGATCTTGATCAAGGCTATTTAATCAGTAGTCTAAGGGCTAGGTGTGTCCTTCAAAGCCTTTTGTGGCATGCCTGCCCTGCCAGTTCCTTTATCTGCAGGTGATATTTCTTTTTAATAGATGATGGGTGTGGTTTCCGGGACCATTATTATGCAAATATTTTTCTAGCACTGATCTAGGTACTTAAAAGAAGACTTCCACAAAACATGGAACCTCACCGGCTGCAGCGTCTGGCTTTTACAGAGAGGGGGAGTTGCTTAACAACTGTACAGCCTTCTCCTGGTGAAATCTGGTTTTGGAGCACAGCCTGAAAATACTATTGTTTACTATGATTACCATCCAGTCTCAATGGCCTGAATTCAGTCCACCAACCATGATAAACAATTGTGAAACAAGAGATATGCCCTTGTTTACAAGGAGGCAGTGAGAGGTGAATAACTTTCTGTGTTCCTAAGATCCCAATCACCTTAGTGGTTCTTGGGAGTTCTTCAAAGTTTCTTTTGCAAGTTCACTATGCATTGCTCAATTCTAAGACTCCCCTTTGGTGCACCTAACATTTTATATTTGTCATCATATATAAGTCTGGTGTTGCTTTTTATACAAAGCTTTGAAAAGCAGGGAGTGAACATTTTGCTACATTAATAATCTCTAATCAGAATGTTTATAGGTTTATTAAAGGGAATGCCTTATATTTTTTACCTCTGTTGTTGACAGTTTTGATTAAAACAGCCGCCTTTCAAGAATTATTTGAAGCACTGACATACTTGGTCTGAACCATAAAAATTGACATTTGTATTTCTGAATTTAAACATCATGTCTTTCTAGTACCTTCATTAGCCAGATAAGCCTCTTTAGTGCCCTCTCTAAATTAGTTTAAGTTTGATACTCCGAGTTTGGCCAACTGTCATACCATTATATAAAGGGATTCATTCAGGGCCAGTAAGGGCTTTTTTTGGGGGACAGTGGGGAATGGTAGTTGGCAATACTTAGGGGTCCAGTCATACAGCAGCGGTATAGCCTTACAGTGGCCATACCACTGCTTATAAAAGAGAGCTTGGCATTTTTATAAAAGCATAGCGTTGAGCTTGACAATGGTGCTTAGTGAGCCCTGAAGCCAGCAGAATGTTAGTAAAATGAATAAGTGAGTTAAAAAAAGAAGCTGGGAGGGCAGAACGGACATGTTACTTGTCAAAGCCATGTGACCAGCTGTTCCTCCAATACCTGTGCACTCCCTGCTGTGTTAAGCAAAAGAAGAACTTTACCACATCGCAGGCTCAACACCATGGTCTGCATTTTTGAATTGGCAAGATTTATGAATGGGTCTTGGTCTAGAAGTCAGAGAGTTCAAGCCCTTCTAGCAAAGTAAACCTAAATCAGAGAACAGAAAGAAAGCAGAGGAGGATTTCTGGCTAACAGAAATCATCTTATGGAGAATACAATTGCAGAGGCAAATATATGGAATTTTTAAAATACAAAGAAAACCCTTGTTGACAAAGATATGTCATAGCTGAAATCCATTAGGAAATGCTAGGTGCCTGGTTGTCTTACTAATTTAATGACCTCCGTGTTTTCTGAGTCACTGACCTGGATCAAGTGTGTAGGTCAGTAACATAGGAAATATTAAAGTGTATGTTTAGCCACTTTTATCTTCTTAGGTAACGTGGGAAAGGATTATTACCCCTGTCAATGTCTTTGTTGTTTGTATCCTTCTAGGTAGAATAGTCCTGTGTAATCAGCACAGTGACCTTTGTCTTTGAGACAGAAAATGATGGGCAATCAAAAATGTTAGTGTTGTCACCAGAACAAGGGGTGAGGATAAATATTCCATCAGGGACACTGTGCCAGTGTCCCCTCACTTTGTACAGATTTCCTCTGGCTTCCTGTTTCATCTCCAGGACAGGAAGTGAAGGGAATGCTTTTCAATGGGACAAAGATAGCAAAAAATAAACTAAGTTTCATTTATTTAATAATCCTACTTGCAGATTGGCGTGTTGCCTCCCATACAGCTGTTTCCAAGTTGCGTGCTGTCCTCTCTGTTGCAGAAGGAGAATATGGAGTCATAACACTCACAAAATTTTCTACCATTAAAGTAGAAAGGAGGTCAAACTTTATTTTAGCTTTGCATATAGAGTGGGAAAGGGTTTAAAGGCCTGTCACATTTTCATTGCTATGTTCCACCTGGTAAGTTTCTTTTTAATTCCTGTTCCAGAAACACAACAGAAAGTGGAAATCACCTCAACAGGAAGTGGAAATCACCTCAAAGTCCTTCCTGCCAAATTGTCACCAGATAAAAGCATCCCATTTGGAGACTTTTCTTCAACTCGTTTTCTGGTGACAGCCGTAAGATTTTGAAGTTCCCCTCACTTTGACAATGGTCGTCATGACTAATAGCAAGGCCTGTACTATAGGAACACAACAGAGGCCCCACAGAGGTTTGGACCTATCCCCATCCTATACAAAACTAAGAAAATAAATTTTCTGTTCTAATAGACTTTAGGAGGTAGTGTGGCAACCAAGAAAGATCTGCATGGTATATTATTTTCACCCAAGATTCATACTTTCTAAATGGCATTCCATTGGAAACATTTTTGTAAATTATGGGTAAATGGTGTGCAAAACTATTAAAAAATAGAGCTCTAAGTGTCTATGGATCTGGCCAACATGATCGATAATAAGGTGAATGCTTTCAGTTTCACATACCAACCAAACGCTGCATTTATGTGTTTAGTGCATTTATTCTTTTATTTACGGTACATTTTGGTGTAATTGTTGCAGTTTATTTTTTTTTACTATTATACATTTGTATAATTTTAAACTACTCAAACATATACAAAGCATGTCAAATGATGTTTTTTTGTTAAAAGTACTTAAGGTGCATGACATTGAATTTCAATTTATTGAATACATATCGCCAGTTGGGTCTGTGCACTCATAATGTAAGGGCTGCCCACATGACTGACAAGTGAAACTTGGATTAAAGAGAGAAATAGACCTGTTGTCCATAGCAGCTGAGCAAGATGATGACCCTTCCCAAGGCTGAGCCCTAACATTTACCAGAGAAAAAAAAACAACAACTCATCAGCGGTATCAGGAACAATGTGTGCTATATCTTTGAAATGCTGCCTTTAAAGCAGAGGCCACATTGAAGATATACTGTACTGTCCTGTTTTGTTTCTTTTTTAGAATGGGGACTGGCTACCACAGCTATTAGTAAGTGACTGGTCATCTGTTTGCCCCCTTGTTATTCCATCACATCATCATTGGCATTTCCGGCAACATACAGCAGCAATCCATCAAATCTTTGCTTTGCCAGTATGACTAACAACTTTACTGACTGTACTGCAGCACTGCAACAGTGATAACAGGAAGGAAGTCCTCCACGTCAATGTCACCACCCAAAATGTGCCTTTGCATCAACTCATACTATAGAGAGGTCAACAAGCCTCAGGGGAACAGTAGTCTACCAGAAGGTGTCTACACCTTGCAGACAATTCCTGCAAATCAAGCAATTATTACTCAACTGTCCCATTTCCCCCACTGAAGATTTTTTTGTGTTGAAGTAGTAGAAATGCTGAAAGATCGCCTACATTTGACAATTCTGGACGTGACAAATGCTGGAGTCCTCTGCTGTGCTCTGTAGCTCCATATGCCAGCCCCTGCAGTATTGACTTAGGGGCCAGTGGAAGGAACCATAATGCATTGCGGCACAGCAGGCATTTAACACACCTGTAAATGTGCTGGATGCTGAGGTTCTTTTATCAAAATTAGTTCTTCAATGCAGAGAAGTTCGGGCACCAAGATAGTTGATTTCCTTGCCTACCTACCTCCTTGTTCCAGTGATCTGCACTGTGCAGTTCTGCCCAGCGTTGTGCAACCATTCCTCTGAAAATGTTCCTTCGGGGGTCCTACTAATGTGTATGTGTGCCGCGGCCCTATACATTCCTATGGTAGAGTTGTATTATGCTGTACCGTTAGACACAGCTCTCCAATTGGAATTCAATAGGGCCATGGTGCGCTTGTGCAACCCAGGTACATTTCTCCCTTTAACTCCTAACTTACTATCCCAACCTTAACCCAGCCCCTAACACAAGTTAACCTCCTCTAATCCACTAATCCAGAATTACCCGTGCTTTCAAAGCTGAAAGCACCCACTCCCTGAGCCCAAACAATACAGCGCCGCGATGCTGTCTTTAATTTTCAGCTGCTTCCTAAATGTAGGATGGTCCAACTGGATGAAGCTCAGGATGATACACTTGCCCAATTATAAACTGGCTGTAGTGTCCTTCTTAGTTTAAAATACAGAAAGTGCATTTTGCATAGGTAAAACTATACCTACAATTTTATATTTGATTGTATAGTTACCCAAAACATATATATTTGTAAATGTGTATTTGCTCTTTTATAAAAAGACAATGTTTTATTTTGGGTTTATTTGTGTTCTATTATTGTTTTAGTGTTTTCTCTAATTCTACTTCAAAATATGTATTTTACTTATTTTATAGATTTCAAAAAGTTTTACAGATAAGTACAAAAAAATCATGATCCGTATCATATACTTGAAATTATTGTCACTCATTTAATGGTTTCTAGGAGACTTCATTTGGCTTGAGTTACTTCGCCAAAATTTAGTTTTGGGAAGGGTGGGGAATGGTTATAACCTCTGTCAAAGTACAAATGGTGAAGGTGCTAGGAGAAAAGCACCAGACACGTTGTATAGAGTCCAGAAATGATATGTATTAAAAGTCACATTCGGTAAAAAACATATTCATGGTCTAGGGGTCCCATTTCATCAAGGCTTAGAATATGTTAAAACATTTATTTTGGACGGATGGACCTTGAATAATTCTGAGGGTTCACTATGTTTATTTAAGGTGAAAAAATCCTGTTCCAGTCACTGGTTTAGCAGCGTTCCACACACTAAGCTATGAAGGAAGACCTTAAAACCCCCAAAACGTCCTGGAGTTTTACTGAATGTGACTTTTCATTAATATTATTTCTGAATTCCATACCTAGCACTTTTCTCTTTGCACCTTCAGTTGATATGGGATACACGCTGGCTCATAGTTCTTATCTTCCTACGAAGGTGTGCCTCCACTATACCAGATCTAATTTGCTATTGAGATACCTACCTGAACACAGTGATCCAATGTCCCACACCTTTCCTTTTCTTCTTGATATTTCTAATGCTGTCTTTGTCTTCATAAAGGAAATTTATCTTTTCTGTTTGCCACCTGGACCGTAATTGTATCATCTTAATGGGCAAATCAGGCAGCAGGTAAATTCTGTGAAAGAATCTAAACCTTCTTCACTCTAGCCAAATCTTTTGATTTCTCTCCCATTGGAGAGATTTCATGTTCTAGCTATAGAGTATGTCACCAGCACACCAGGGATCTTAGTTCAAAATGTCTTTTTATGCCTGATGAAGGGGCCCTGCATGGTCCCAAAATGTTGCCGTTTGTTTGACCTCAATGTGTAGATGTTAATAAAGGTGTTTTGGACTAAGATCCTTGTGTACTGGTGACATAATCTATGTCATGGATTACAGCAGCGCCATATGCAGTCATTTCAGCACCCAATCTCACAAGGGCCTTACCAGTCAGGAGTGCGGTTGGCTTAATGTAGCTTCACCTAAAGCAGCCCCCAGTTTCCTTAAGGCCAGCTAGCCTACCGATACTTGGTTGCACAGGAGGCTCAGCAGACGCAACACTCCTCGTTCGATTGCCCAGGCAAATGTAACCACACCTCAGGCTCCTCCTCCTAGCTCCTCATTGACCACTGTGTCCTGCACTGCAGCATTATGCCTGAACCTTAGCCCTGGGGCGTCCTGTTGCCAGAAAATACCCTCTGTCTACGTTCCTGCCAAGGCACCAGTCCCAATGGAATGCTGAGCCTTGCATCTGCTTGAGTCAGAGGAAGTGCACCAGGAGGCAGACTGACCAGTGTCGGACACAGAGCTGCAGGGAGACCTTGGAAAGAGAGGAATTTACAAATTCACATATTTATATACAAAATTTCTAGTGCAAAAAGATACTCCACACGTTACTTATCAGAGAAGATTTGAACCTTTACCACAGTTGCTGTGAAAGTGACAGAGTAAAGAATGTTTTCTAGCCTTTGCTCATGTTTATCACAACATTTATACCATGCAAGTACTATGTGTACTATTGCTACTGTTGGTTATGTGTTTAGATGAAGCGCTGAGATCTTGAGGAATGCTGCATTAAGTTTGACTTGCTTATAAGGACACTACATCAGAATACAGCATAGTAGAGAGGAAAACTTATATACAGATAGATATATACAGCATGCATATAAAAAAAAACTAGCATAGACTAACATTGCACTACAACGCCATCTACTGCTCAAAAGAGATAATTACATCTCTGAATGTCGGTATTACAATCAGTACATAAGCTGTTATATTTCCAACAGTTACCATGTGTACCACCCACCTTCACTGTCACAACACTTTTTTTATACAATACTAGATGCCAAAGTCTTGACTTGTCATAAACAGGAACGTGGCTATACCTTGACATTCCTTCTTACTTCATTAAGAGCTCCTCACATACACTCCTTTCATTCTCATCCTAGCATCTGCACTTATGCTCAGTCTCCATGTCTGAAAACTGCTGACGCAGAGTGAATCAGTGCAGTGGTCAGCCACAGCCGAAATGTTACATGCATCAATTGGGTCTAATGAACAAAGTTGTGACATTTGCAATCCATACTATTTAACACATGGCTAATGGAACAAAGGGTCCTTGGTGGACTGTGCAGATGATTGAGATATACAGTTTTACTGCTGGTTGTGACCCAATGGGAAGATTCATCTCATTTACTGTGGTCTTAAAAATAATGTAACTGGTAGAGGAAGGTAGGGACAATATTCATTGGAAATTAATATAAAGCAGATGATTTAGATTTCCTGCATTCTCCTACAAATGTATATTTAATGCCGTTTCATCCCTGCTGATGACATATCTACTTATATCTTGTTAACACTGGGGCAGGAAGTGAAAGGTAATCAGTTCCTGGCAGAGGTTTTAAACCTCCCCCACCCTATCGTAAACCTAAAAATGTTTTGGCTAGTGCTCGATCATATACCCTGTCATTGCTGACCTTCTCAGTAAATGCTAATTGCTTTTGTGTCTTGCTGAGTCACTAACCCAGAAAGAGCATACAGATAAAGAGATCTGATTTGAATCTGACTTTCCTGATTTGCAAAGCCAATGGGTCAACAAAACAGCCAGATCACTAAGCTGGCTACACACTGTTAGATTTTCGAAAAGAATGTTCACATGAAAAACCTTATCAGAACATTCGAAATTGCCATCAGAGACTTGAGAAATATGGGTCTAAACTCTATTTGCTTTAACATTTTATGTTATTTTGGAAATTATTGAAAACATTTTCCATCTTGCTCCTTTGATCTTTTTCATCCCTTTGATTGAAAATGATGGTTTATTTGACCCCATTAAATATTAGGAAATCGAACAAATGTTTGAAAGCAAACTTTTCCTAACAAAATTCTACTGGTGTATCTTCCTGCAGTTCTCTAAAAGACCCACCAGATGGCATACAGAAAATATTTCAGTTTATGTAAACCCTCACAATGATCTTTTTAGCTCCCTTTCGCTCTGTTAAATATAGAATTAGAAGTGTTTTGTTTTATCTGTTTGATCAGTGCAAAGAAAAAACGAGTGACCTTGTCAGAAATTCAGAGCTGCCCTGTGCCCTCTGTTGTGTACATACCTTCCAAAATTAGAACTTAAGAAGGCGGTATATCCTTGAGGAGCATAGGTGTGCACACGGGGTGTTCCTGGGCACACTTTAATCACCCCCATGCACACATACAAGGATGGACTCTCTGATGCCCTGCAGGCTGGGCCAGTGGTATGAAGCCGTACCATTGCCCAGGCCGTACGGAGGCTCCAGGGCTGTCAGCCATGTGACCACTACAGCGGTGTCCTCCCACTGTGTACAATGCAGGATCTGTGGGAGGTGGGACATCTTACTAGTGCCAAGACTGAGCAGGCTGCTGCAGTTTTTGAGGAGGCTGCAGGGGTATGGGGTGGGGGTGCCACTAGGGTAGGTGGGG